TGTAAGATCAGTATTTTACAGTGTTATAGTTGTCTACAAGTTGTAAGATCAGTATTTTACAATATTTAAAAATATAGACAAAACAATATTTCTCTCCAAAATTCAGCACTGTCACTAGCCAACCCTTCATCTCTATTTAACAAATGATTATTTAATTTACAACACGTGATTTCAATAGATTCTCTGATATTAAATTCATTTATTGTATTGGGTTCATTTAAAATTATTGTTTTATGCCACTGTATTGAAGGACCTGTTTCTACAACATGCTCGGCCAGCGAAGAAATTAACACCTTTATATTACGTACATAACCTTTATGTTCATTAATGCGGTATTTCAAATTACGTCTAGTTTGACCATCATATTTTTTGTTACATTTACATCTAATTTGATATATATATACCTTTTTTGTTAAATATCTTTTTTATCTTTGGTGCTTGGAAGTATTGTTTTAATTTTATTAAATGGCTTCAAAATAGGAATAAAGGTAATGTTTTCTAAATACGTTAGCATCTTGACAAGTTATATCGTTTACATATGTTAATATCACTATACTAGTTATTTTCTTATCATAAACACTGTTTAATTAAATATGAATTCTATCTTCTTTGTACTAAACGTTCAATTATATCAATAGTATAATCTCTATCATTAGAAATGACTTTTAAATAATTTAATTCATTTTTTAAATCAACGATATCGGATCAAAATTTAAATGCTCTGTTTATATAAGTATGAAAAGCTGATAACTTTTGAGGAAATAGATGTTACGATCTTTGATGTGGCGGCATAGACACTAAGTAAGGTTTTCGGTAAACAGTTATAGAAATAGTTCCATCATTATTTCTTTTTACAAGTACGTCTAAAAAAAGTAAACAATTATCTTGTTCAATTTCTTAAGTAAACTGGATAAGTTTAGAGAGATCAATGTTATTTAGGTAATCAGCAAATATTTTTAATACGGTGTCTCTACCGAAACATGTATAGTCATTTTTAATTTTTTTAAATCTTATTGTGTAAAGTAAACGTTGTTTTATTTATATTTTTAAATAAAGTTTATTGCACAATGCTGCCCTATTTATAACTTATATTTTACAGTATTATAGTTGTCAACAAGTAGTAAGTTCAGTATTTTACAGTGTTATAGTTGTTTACAAGTTGTAAAGTCAGTATTTTACAGTGTAATAGTTGTCTACAAGTAGTAAGGTCAGTATTTTACAGTGTTATAGTTGTTTACAAGTTGTAAGGTCAGTAATTTATAGTGTTATAGTTGTGTACAGATACTAAATTTATGATGTTAATCTAATGTAGATGTTAACAGGTGGTTAGTTCAGTGTGTTACTGTCTTATAGCTGATTACAAGAAGAATTCTCTATTAATTTCTATAGCTATTTATAGGTATAAACTATGGTTGTTATTGATCTAAAGCTGTTTACAGCTATTTGTGGGGATTTCAGGGTTTTTACTATTTTATAGCTTTATTAGTTGGTAAGTTTAAATCATTTGGAACACTATCTTAGTTTACGGAAAAGAGTGACAATTTCAAACTCTTAGTATAACTTATACCTTCTTTTCCTTATCAAGAATGTTAGCTGTAAAAGTTAATATTTCATTAAGAAAAGACTGAGAATAGATTAACCTATAATCTTTATATTTTTGAAAGAAAGACAATATATGTGTAATTTGTAATTCTGTTTCAAGCGCTCATTTTTATACACAACTGCAAATATTTAAACTAAATTTGTAACTGCAAATGGAGAAAGTGCAACACCGTAATGAATTGGACTCTTCTTTTCATTCATATATTAAATTACAATACTCCCAGTCTAAAGCAGATTAATAGTAAACTACTCGCGTAGAAAAAATCAGATCAGAAAGTATCCCTTAGTGTATATTACTCGAAGGGTTCTAGTCTTCATTAGACCAGAAAGTATTCTTTAATTTATACAATTAAGACGAGTAGAATGCTAAAATAATTACACAATAAATACTTTATTAAAAATAGGGACCGACCGCTAGAACACCAAAGCATGTAGAGTTTTTTAGAGCTGCTATCAGTTTTTAATTAATTATTTATTGTATAATTATTTTAGCGTTATACTCCTTTTAATTGTATATATATTGCACAAGTGGCGTTTTTAATTATTTATCCATTAGTTTATGTTAGCCGAAGGGTTCGAATCTCCAAAATCTCAACCTGATTAAGAATGGAAATATTTTGTTTGAGATACGTTTCATTTTTCTTTATTGTCTGTCATTTTACGTTTTCATGGAATATTGCTTTACTTTGACCATTAGAAAGATAATTTGTTTTAACTAGAGAGGGATTATAAATAAAATTTTGAAGATCAGCGCGTTATATCTCATAAAAGATATGGAATTGTAAGGCGAAATTTCAAAGCAATGTTAAGGGTATCAGGACGAAACTTCCACAGTTGTCACGTTGTGGTTTATTTGGTATATGGGTATAATAAATTCCCTTGTCAATCACAGTGAAATTCATTCAACCAACATAAAACTGACAAATATCCATGAGATGAACTGATGAAATATTATTACACCAAAAGATGTAATGTCGAAGCAGTTCTCAAGTAATGCCGTGGCGTGCATAACATCAGCAGAGGGAAATGTTCCAGTGTTATTTACTGTATGCAATTTTATAAAAACATGTGAGGAGTCGGGATGCACTTGTGATAAGCCACTTATAGGCAGATCATCGACATATGGTGAAACTACTGCTATAGTCAGCCATGCTTTAGCAGAACAAGTCAATACAATAAAAGTTTGGAGATAGCTTGAATGAGTAATGAAGAAACATTTTTATAAATGTGCACATTTAAAGTCAGTACAAGTGCACATGGATGCAGAAGGGCACGTTATGTCGCTCGGTGTCTGTATTTGTTAATGTCAGCTATTTCTAAGACTTTTCAAACAACTTAGCGAATATTTTCTTACAAGATGTATCGTATTCCAGTACT